TAACAACAATACCGTGAAACCGTGATATTTTTGCTTAAGGTTATCATACTGTCAAAATATCATACCGGCCCATGCCTAGTGGGGTCTGTAAGAATTCATGTCTTTTTTTACATTTATAGACTTTTATGCTTGGTTGCATTAAATTGTTTTTAAACAATTGACATAAAACACTCAGTGTTTCCCACAGGATTATGTGAGACTGTGGTGGGTGGTCCTCGATCTCTGTAGGGGGGTCCGGGGGCATGCCCCCCCCCCCGGAAGAAAATTTTGTACATTTTAAAGTTAAATTCATTTATCTGGTGCACTTTGAGAGTTCAAAATTAAGAGCTCCAACACATGTTCAGTGTGCAAACTTAACAAAGAGAAAAGTCGGTGAATTGACTACCTGAACTTTAAAGGGGACCTCTTTTTAATTGTGATATAGTGTCTCAGTCTAAATTACATCCACACTGGAATTTTAAGAAGCCAAACTAATTCAAATGTAATAATAATAATGTAATTTTATATTATTATTATTAGTAGTAGTAGTAGTAGTACAGATTTATATTATTATTCCTATGACAGTAATAGCCATATATTGTAAAACAAGTGCACTGTGAAATAAATGAAAATGTTTTTTTTTTTCCAGGTATATTATTTGACCTTACTCTAGAGTAGGGAAATTGCAATATTTTTGTCCTAATTTCTACACTTGCAAGCAGAGCCTAAAACTAACTTTCACATCTGCCAGTGGCTGGTGACGTGAGAAAATTTACCGGCCATAAATATTTTTCCTTGCCATGAAACTGTTTTTGTAAAGTTGCTGTAGCAGTTGCTACTACTACAACTAAATATATTTAATAAAACGGGCAGTTGCTACTACTACAACAACTAAACATATTTAATTTTTAAAAAAGCCATTTGAAATTAGAATCAACCACTGCATTTTAATCCCGGTACAAACAAAGATACAAAGATAAAACCTGCATTAGGGATGTAACGATTAACTGCGAGCCGGTTGAAAATCCATTCAAATATGTGACGATTCAAATCGGTTGAGATGCTAAACAAATTTAGGTGTAGGAGTTTATATGAATGTATGTCTGAGGGGAACTTACTGTCTTTAGAAAAGTTTAGATGGTATTTTTTCTTTTCATCTTGCCTCTGTATAATGCATATTAAAGTTCATAAGTGCAGCGCTGCTTTGTTTACAGCGGAAACCAAGGAAACGCTGTATCATATATTTTTATCACAAAACTGAAGTCAAACCATTTTGTTTTTGCTTCAAATTTCGAAACTATACAATCTAAACAATCTAATAAACTGCTCATGTTGCATGTATGCAGCATCTTTGTTTGGATCAAGATTAAAACGCAGTGGTTGCCTCTTAATTTTAAATGGAAAGACCACAGACAAAACCTTATTTTGTTTATATGAAGAGATTTCTTTTATTTGTGTTACTTATTTATTTGATTTGGGGCTTGTTTTAAAATTTCAATTTAGTTTTGTTATTCACATTTACTTTATATTAGAATTTTGTAATTTAGCCGTAAACTCAACTCTGTGTGTGTTTGCTCCAGTCTGTCAAATCCATTCCACCGACAGGGAATTCTGTTGGAATATCCAGCTCATTAAGATGCCATGCCCTGCCTGAATCACGGCAAAAGTTTTCAAGACGAGTGACAGAAAAGTCAAAGAAGAAGGCATCCCTTGAGCCGACAGAAGCGTGCAGTGTCCTACAGCAGGGACAGGCTTTTTTTAATCTGCTGCGAAAAAGAGACGGCGTGTTTCCACATGATAAGTGATAAAATGTTAAGCAAAACTGGCAGGCGTAACTTCACACGCAGAGATCTTAATGCATGGCACACTGGCGAGAGTGTTCTCTGAGTAGACGGGACTTTGCCCTTCAGCAGTGTTGGGGTTCAGAGCCAAACTTCAGCTCGGAGAGCGGGAGAAATGGAGGGTGAGACAGAGGGTGTGAAGTTTAAAGTGCTGAAGGCTCAAGAGTTTCCAGAATTCCCTCATGGCAAATTAAAAATGTGGCTTGCCCCTCGGCCTGTTTTACAACCGGAGAGGACAAGGAACAATAGATTAAGTGTAGAGAATGGTGGGCTGTTTGAGCCTGGATTTCCTTTTAGGAATTTACCATGGTAACAGTACTTTTTGTCCAAATACCATTGTTCCTACAATTACAGTTTTTTTTAATCTATCTATCTATCTATCTATCTGTCCAAACTAGGGATGCTCATATTGACCGCTTAACCGTTAACCGAAAGTAAGAATTTTAACCGATTAGTACTATCAGTGAAACGGTGTAAAAGTTTTTTGGTTTTTTTTGAAAAATATTTTTAAGTTTGGTGCATGGTAAAAGAAAAAATAATGCTATACATACAGTATTTGTTTACTCGCGTGCAGCGTGCATACAGACATATTTCGCTGAGCAAGCACCTGCTTCACCTTCACTTAGTTAACTGATGTAGTATACCTAACACAATGGCAAGTGGCAATATTGGATAAATGGTTATCAGAGAGTGAATACGTGAGGGAATGTATGTAAATTCTGAATGGATTATAGTGCGCAATGGGCGCACCACTTATAATCACTGGAAATCTGTCACTCACTCTTACTGATCATCGCGATCTCACAAAGTTAACTAAAAATAATCGTAGAAGCTTTACACTGCACAATTAATCTCTTATTTGCATCATGTCTACACTTTCTTTGTTTTAATGAGAGAATTTGCGAACGTGCAGAACTTCACTGAACACCAGCATTTTGGGTGGGGTGAGTGGATTGCGTTCATGAAATCAACAGATATGTCTATGATTGGCTATATTGCTCAACGCTGCTGCAAACATGCCGTGAATAGAAACATATGACCACTGGATGAAAAGTCTCGAACCGCAAATTGACGGGATTTTTGTGATGGTGTTTTTGTCGCGGGTCTTACAGTTAGCAGGCAGCGCTCCAGTCTATCCGTAGGCCTACAGCATGTCGACATGTTACTTAAAAAAAAATAAATAAAAAAAAAAACCTAGCTACACTGAGATAGGCCTGTAAATATTTTTATGTCTGACAGGAAAACGACTGCCATTCTTAAAAGCGCATTGAAGGATTCAGTGTGTGTTTTAGTTTTGTCATATTAATTTGTTAATTATTTATTTGATATATATTTAGTGTAGGCCTATTTATTTTATTCTTTATTATGTTATTCTGTTTTTCTCTTTTCTCAGAAGCGCTGCTTGTGCGTGATAATTCGAGAATGTGTGATCCTAGGTTTTGCCGTTGCTCTGTATGCTGCTGTTTGCACGTTAAAATAAAATATTACTTTATTAATATTTTTAATGTATAATCACAGACGCTTGTCCATTCTATTTTTATTTAATACTAATTTATTATTCTAATTTTATCAGTTATTAATGGTTAATGTTCGGATAACGAGCAGCGGTTGTCGGTCAGGAAAATTAACCGAAATGAGCATCCCTATTTCAGATATGAGTAATGTGTGTTATGGCTTTTTTTTTTAGTGACAGAATGGGGTGATGATGTGAGACCGATGTCTGAAGATGAAGCCATGGTCATAGTCAACCATCAGTCTACAGGAGACGTGTGCACCCTAATGATGTGCTTGCAGGACAAGGGCACGGTAAGCACGCTTCTGCTTGGGTTAGGGTTAGTACTGCTCTGATGGTGGTGAATTATACATTAAATATATTATACATCGATATCACATTGACAACATTTCAGATCGCTATCAGAAAATAAAACTAATTCTCATGTTCTTGTCTAGGTTGTACAAAAGATGATGTGGTTGATGGACCATGTTTTTAAATATACCAATTTTGGGGTTGTGTCCCTGATTCATGGAGATTTCTTCATCAGGCAGGTAAGACCTGTTCACTTAAAAAGAAAATTTGTATTTTGTAACGTGATGTGACAAGGATAGTCTAGCTTCATCCATATTTAATAAAGTAGCGCAGCGAACAAACTAAATGGTTTTTAGTGCAAGAAGAAATTTAGTCAACACTGACGAGATTTGTCATTACCAACAGGGCAAAGCACATCGAGAAAAGCAACTAGTTTACTTGAAGGATCACCTAGACAAGTATTACTACAGCAGAGACAGGAAGTGGATTGTGCTGTTTCCTGAGGGCGGCTTCCTAAGAAAGAGGCGAGAGACAAGTCAGTCCTTTGCCAAAAAGTATGACTTGCCTTACTTGACTCACGTAACACTGCCACGGCTGGGCGCCACACAGATTATCCTGAAGACCTTAGGACCCCAGCAGGAAAACGGCATTCTGGGAACAGAGGGAAGTCCACCAGGTCAAAGTAAGGAACAAAATCAACTTTTTAATGTTGTAACAGATTTATGGGTCTTTCACTATATTTCCCATGGTTCTGTGTATGAGTTACCAAATGGGATACCAATAACAGTGAGTCATTTGCCCTTTTCCAAACAATACGAGTAATATCTGTATTATGGTATCTAATAGGGCTGTGTATCTCCAGCAAAGCCACGATACGCATCACGATACAGAGGCCACGATATGGACTGCACTGAATTTCACCTCAGAAGAATTTAGTAAAACAGCTATTTATTAAACACTGTTTATATATATAGTCTATAGTGCCATTTCTAACTATTGGCAGAGCAGGCAGTTGGCCTCTGCATTATGAAGGGCCTCCATGAAGGGGTTCCGTTTTTTTTTTTTTCTGGACTCCTTTTTAATGGTTAAATTACATTTTATTCATTAAAAAGCATGTCTAATTAATTAAAATCATGAAACTTAAACAATTTAACATACATTTATTAAAAGTTGAACAAATATTACATGTTTAGGGCCCTATAAAATGTTTTATTTTTCCAACCTTATGTTTTATTGTAACCAAATTCTGTTTTAGCATGTCTAATTATTTGAAAGCATAAAAACAAGTTTCATTTATTCTTAAAATAAAATTTTTCTGAGAATAGAATATCGAAGTGGAGATTGCTAAACTGCAAGCTAAAACTAAAGCCAGTGTTTTCAGAAAGCAAGCGCGTTTATCCACAGTAGAGAGAGAGCACGTGCACATGGTTGCCAGGTTGACAAAGATAAGTAGCACACTTAGCAGATATTTCCGTATTGCGCAAGTGTGAAGCTCTGTTTTGGGGATTACGTCTCTTTATATCAGGCAACCCAGTTGTGTTCCTCTGCGGC